AGGAGAGGAAGGCAATTCACAGGGACATGGAAAAGCAAATGTTAGGTAAACAAATGCCTGCTAGGCCATGCCACAGCAGAACATAACATCACACCCATAAGTTCCCAGAAATAACTAAGGGAGACTTTGGGTGAGACCTACAGTAAAGGAGCAAATAATCTGTGACATTTGAACTATTCATGTTGAGGTGTTGGCGTTCATAACCGTGGACTGGTGGGGCCTGAGGAAATCGGAATTGTAAATACAAAATTTGACTAAATAGAATTGGAGCACAGAGAGAATATTGACTTAGTCTAAGGAACTCAAAGCATCTTCACAGCTCAAGTTAAGACTTTAAGGAGAAATGGGAGTCACCCATGTCAGGTGATAGATGTGACTAGAAGGTCAGAGGAGCTGCCTCTGCAATGGGTGACAAATCAAAGCATGTAGCATGTTCTGGGATGAGAAAGTGGGACTATAGTGTGGCTAAAGCTGAGCATCGTTTTATAAACGAGACAGAAGGAGGAAGGGCTGCGTGAGTTCTATTTGTTGGAATTCTTTGAGGTCTGAGATGAATTTCTCCATGGGGGAATTTAATTTGCTTCTGTCAGGCTTCTGGGGATTCTGCTAATCCAAGATCACTCTAATTTCAACTCTCATTTTGAAGTGTTTAATACCACCAAGATGACAAGGATTTGGCCTGAGAGCTGGCTTTCGGTTCTAAATTCTCACCAGTGATTCCCTCCCTTTGCTGTACTCAGCTGTGGGTGTTATTCTTTCCTTTGGAGTCCCCTGGGGCTGGAGGTGAGGGGTGGGAGGTGGGGAGAGATATTTTCATGAAAAAGTTTACCCAGATACCCAGGTCACCAAATAATGAGAAACAGAATGAAAGTCATCTTTCTGATGAAAGAGGCTAGCATTTTATTTACCGGCATTTTTCTCTACTGAGAAGACTATTTCCAAAATCTTTGCTTTAGAAAATGTTGGGTAAAGGAAAGAACATGGAATGGCTGGTCCAAATGTCAGAGAGATGGTTTTTTTTTTCCCTAAACATCTTTTATTTACTCACTGCTTTGCTTGTCACCGATGGACTTTAAATGCCAGAGCTAATTTTTAGTCTGGTCCCTAGTTCAGTGACATAGAACTTCAGTTGCCTCCTATGTAAAAATAGAACACTGATGCATACTGTACTCATTTTCAATGGCTGCCCTAACAAAGTACCACGCATTGGGTGGCTTAAAACAATAGAAATTTATTGTCTGACAGTTCTGGAGGCTAGAAGTCCACAATCAAGGTGCTGGCAGGGCCATGCTCCCTCTGAAACTTTTAGGGAAGAGCCTTCCATGCCTCTTCCTAGCTTCGGGTGGTGGCCATCAATCCTGGGTGTTGCTTGCCTTGCAGTTGCCTCACTCCACCGTCTGCCTCTGGTATTACATGGTGCTCTCTCTTTTGTCTGCCCCAGTTCCCCTTTTCTTATTAAGGACATCAGTCATATGGAATTAAGCACCCACCCTACTCCAGCATTTTATCAATAGTTAACATTTATCTACAACAACCCTATTTCCAAATAAGGTCACATTCTGAAATACTAGGAGTTAGGACTCCACCTATCTTTTTTTGGAACTCAATTCAACTCATAACACATGCCTTTTAGGTCACTCACTCCCTTCTGTCTTCCTCAATACACACCATGCATATCTTATATGCCTCAGTTATAGCACTTGTCATTGTTTAAAATAAACTATTATTGACATGTAGCATACATACAGATGAAAACATACAAACTACAAATGTACATCTTGAGGAACGATCACAAAATTAACACACACGTTACCATCACCCAGATAAAAAAGAGGACATTACCAACACCCCAGAACCCTCCTCATGCCCCCTCCGAGTTACATTCCTTCCTAACCAAAGGTAGTCACCATCCTGATTTCTAATATTATAGATTTGTTTTGCCTGTTTTTGAAGTTTACATGATTAGAATGATTCTGTTCCTATTCTGTCTTTTGTGTCGTTTGATAGTATGTTTGTGGGTTAATGCAAATTATCAGTGTAGCAATCCTTTATTTTCTTTTCTGCATTTTTTTCCATTGTATGACTATATCATATTTATTTATCCATTACACCGTTGATAAACATTTAGGTTGTTTTCAGTTTGCACTCTTACAAATAATGTTGTCAAGGACTTCCTTACATACATCTTTGATACATGTAAGTATGCATTTCTGTTTTGTATATCTGTAGGAGTAAATAGCTGGATCTTAGATTTTACATATGTTTGGCTTGAGTACATTACTGTCAAACAAGTTTTCAATGTTTGTAGCAATTTATATTTCCTTCAGAGGTATACATTTGTCTATTCTCGTGCCAAAAACAGTAGCATATAAAAGTTTCAGTTGCTCCAGATTCTTTTGTGGTACCCAATATGGGATACTATCAGTTTGTTAAGTTATAACTATTCTTTGGGTATGTAATGGTATTTTACACAGATACTGGTTTTAATTTAAACTGCCTCATTGACTAATGTTTTCATGTTTATTGGCCATTTGAATATCTACTTTTTTGATGCGCCTCTTCTGACATTTCACCCCTATATTTACCTACTGAATTGTCTACATTAAAAAAATTACTTTGTAGCCAATCTTTATATATTCTGGATATATACTTTTTCAGTTGTATGTATTGTAGGTATCTTCTCACAAACTGTAGCTTGAATTTTTTTTTTTTTGTAGCTTGAATTTTGTTTGTCTTAATGACATCTTTTTATATACATCTTTTGTTCAATTTATTCCTAGGTATTTGATTTTTATGCTATTTCAAATGATATGTTGCTGTTTTTGTTTTCTTTTTTTAAAATTGAAGTATAGTTGATTTACAATTGTTAGTTTACATTTGATTTACAATTTGATTTACGTTTGATTTACAATAGATTTACAATTGTTAGTTTACTAACAATTTACAATTGTTAGTTGTGTTAGTTTCTGGTATACAGCAAAGTGATTCAGTTATACACACACACATATATATATATATATTCTTTTTCATATTCTTTTCCACTATAGTTTATTACAGGATATTGAGTATAGTTCCCTGTGCTATACAATAGGACCTTGTTGTTTATCCATTCTATATATAATAGTTTGCATCTGCTAGTCCCAAACTCCCAATCCAACCCTCCCACCGCTACTTGGCAACAACAAGTCTGTTCTCTACGCCTGTGAGTCTGTTTCTGTCTCATACATAAGTTCATTTGTGTCATATTTTAGATTCCACATATAAGTGATATCATATGGTGTTTGTCTTTCTCTTTCTGACTTACTTTGCTTAGTATGATAATCTCTAGGTCCATCCATGTAGCTGCATATGGCGTTATTTCATTCTTTTTTATAGCTGAGTAATATTCCACTGTATATATATATATATATATATATATATATATATATATATACACACAACATCTTCTTTATCCACTCATCTGTCGATGGACATTTAGGTTGTTTCTATGTCTTGGCTATTGTAAATAGTGTTGCTATGAACATAGGGGTGCATGTATCTTTTCAAATTAGAGTTTTGTCCTGATGTATGCCCAGGAGTGGGATTGCTGGATCATATGACAACTCTATTTTTAGTTTTTTGAGGATGATTCGCAGTTCTAATGTCAAATTATCAATCTTTCTTTTATATTTGGTGTTCTTTGGATTCTATTTAAGAAATCTTTGCTTACCCCAAAGTCACGAAGACATTCTAAATTATCTTCTGAAAACATTGTCTTAGTTTTTGCATTTAGATCTACAATCCACCTGAAATTAATTTTTATGTATGGTATGATATAAGAATCAAGACTCATCCCCCACCCACCCCAACCCATGACTATCCAATTAACCCAACACCATTTACTGGAAAAAAAAAAAAAAGTCTATTCCTCATCACTCTGTAGTGCCATCTTTGTCAACGCTCCACGTATCCATATATATAAGGTCTGTTTCTAGAATCTGTTTGATTGCTTTTTCTAACTATTCTTGCACTAAAGCACATCGTCTTCATTCCTGAAGGTTTATGATAAGACTTGATATCCAGTAGTATAAACCCTCTAACTTTGTTCTCTTTAAGGGTCATCTTGGCTGTTCTGGCCTTTTTGCATTTTCATGTAAATTTTCTTATCAGATTGTCAATATTATTATTATTATTTTATTATTATTTATTTTTTTGGCTGCACCACGTGGCCTGAGGGATCTTAGTTCCCTGACCAGGGATCAAACCCAGGCCATGGCAGTGAAAATGCTGAGTCCTAATCACTGGTCCACCAGGGAATTCCCCAGATTGTCAATTTTATTATTATTTTTTTTCTTTTTTGCGGTACGCGGGCCTCTCACCGATGTGGCCTCTCCCGTTGCAGAGCACATGCTCCAGATGCGCAGGTCCAGCGGCCATGGCCCACGGGCCCAGCAGCTCCGCGGCATGTGGGATCCTCCCGGACCGGGGCACGAACCCGCTTCCCCCGCATCGGCAGGCGGACTCTCAACCACTGCGCCACCAAGGAAGCCCCAGATTGTCAATTTTAACAAAAAAAATCCTCTGGCATTTTGATTGTCATTGCCTTGGGTCTATAGATTGTTATGGGGTGCCTTGATTCTTTCACAACATTGAGTCTTTTGCCTCATGAACATGAACTTTCCATTTTTTTAAAGGTGTCCTTTAATTTCTTTCAATAATGTTAAATATTTTTTTTGTAGAAATCTTGCAGCTTTCATTAGATTCCTTCCTAGATGATTGATGCCTTTGAAGCTATTTAAATTTTTTTGCTTTTTTAAAAAACTTTTTTTAAGAGCAGTTTTAGATTCACAGCAAAATTAAGAGAAAGATACAGAGATTTCTCTTATGCACCCTGCCCCTAAGTATGTGTAGCCTCCTGCATTATCAACATCCTCCACGAGAGTGGTATATTTGTTACAACTGATGGACCTACATATCATAATCACCCAAAGCCCATAGTTTACAGTAGGGTTCACTCTTGGTGTTGTACATTCTATGGGTTTGAACAAATGTATAATGACATGTATCCATCATCTTAGTATCATAAAGAGTATTTTCACTGTCCCCCACCACCTCCCGCAAATCCTCTGTGCTCACCTATGCATCACTCTCCACTGTATTCCCCTCCTGCCCCCCACGACCCCTGGCAACCACTGATTTTTTTTTTTTTACTGTCTTCATAGTATTTCCTTTTCCAGAATATCATATTATCATACAGTTAGATCTGTTCTCAGATTGACTTCTTTCACTTAATAGTATGCATTTAAAGTTCCCCCATGTCTTTTCATGGCTTGATAGCTCATTCCTTTTTAGTGCTAAATAATATTCCATTGTCTGTATGTACCACAGTTTATCCATTAACCTACTGAAGATAGATATCTTGATTGCTTCCACATTTTGTCAGTTATGAATAAAACTGCTGTAAACATCTGTGTGCAGATTTTTGTATGGATATAAGTTTTCAACTCCTTTGGATAAATACCAAGGGCAAATTGTATTACTGTATTTAAATTCTTTTATTTTATACAATTTATTATTGTATACTGATCTCATATCCAGCAATCTTGCTAAATCTGTTCATTAGTTCTAATAGTTTTCTAGAGACCTGTTGGCTTTCCATATGTGATCTTGTCATATATGAATAATGATATTCATATTTCCAATCCACTTATTTTTTTGTCTTTCCTTTTTACATTGGCTGGGGGCCTCTGGTACAATATTAAATAGAATTGTTGATAGTGAATATCTCTGTCTTGTTCCTGTTCTCAAGAATTAAGCTTCCAGTCTTTTGCTTCAAATGCCATGTTTGCTATAATTTTTTATTGACACCTATGATCAGATTAGGGAAGTTTCTTTCTATTCCTGATTTGCTAAGATATTTTATTATGAAATAATTTTGAAAATTTTATCAGATGCTCTTTTTGCATCTATTGAGACAACCACATGATTTTTCACCTTCGTTCTGTTGATGTAGTGAATTTCCATTGACTGCATTAAAGTATTAAGCCAACTTTGCATTCTTGAAGTAAACGTAACTGAGCCTTGGTGTCGTCTTTTATATCCGGCCAAAATAATCTTTGCTAATATTTGTTTAAGGTTTTTTTGTCTATGTGTTTGGGTGAAATTAGCTTGTAATTTTCCTTTCTTAGAATATTTCTGACAGATTTGAGTATGAAGCTTATGCCGGCCTCAAAATAATTTGAAAAATATTATTTATTTTACTAGTCTTTGAAGAGTTTGTGTGAGATTGGTGTTGTTTCTTTCCTTAAATAGCTTGAAGACTTCACTAGCTAAATCAGTGTGTGCCTGGAAGGTCTTTTTGTTAACTTTTTATTTTGGAATGATTTTAGACTTACAAAAAATTTGTAAAAACAGTGCAGATATTCCCTGTATACCAATAGCTCTTAACTGGGGGTGATTTTGCCCCTCCAGAGGACATTTGCAAATATATGAAGACATTTTACTTGGTCACAATTTGGGAGCGGAGGGAGGTAGTGCTAATGGCATCTGATGGGTAGAGGCCAGGGGTGCTGCTAAACCTACAGTACACAAGACTGGCCCTCATGACAAGGAATTATGCAGCCCCCTATGCCAGTAGCGCTGATATTGAGAAACCTTGAATGAGGTCATTCATATCAGCGCTTCAGACTCATACTTCAGGTACAAGAACTAGAAAACAAGCTTGTATTAGAAAAATTGAACTAAAAATTAAATTATTTTAGTCGGATATTATGATCATTATGTATGTATATATATCATGGATGTTTTATTGCATATAGATGTCCCAGTTCATTCAGGAAAACACAAACCATTCTAGATATTTTAATAGTAAGGGCTTTAGTACAGTGAATTGATGCTTATAAAATCATCGAAGCGGGAGGGGCAGTGAGAGTCAAGGGAGAGCTGGTGCTGCCTTTCAGACACTCAGAAAGTAGAGAATCAGGATAACAGTTGCCAGTGATCTCAGCTGCCCATAACACTGAATTGGGTGATTTGCAGAAGTTCATCCAAAAGCTTTTGCAAACTTCGCATCTGCCTTTTGCCAGTGCATCTACCTTCTTGAGAGGAGAAATGCTAGTTTATACTTCTCTTCCATCTTCCTAATGGCCTATAAATTGGAACCTTATTGGCAAGGAATTCTTGGCAATGTCATATCCTTCCAGCCCCTTAAAGAGGAAAGGATAGAAAGGGGTGAGGATAGTGCTGAGTTAACAGCAGACAGTATGGCACCGTCCAACCATTGGGTTACTCAACATTCTTACACCCCCTCCTGTCCATATTTATCTTCCATACAAAAGTAATAACAAAGCATCCCATTTCTGCCTAATGTGATGCAGTTATCACTTCTTCAAACAAAAACATCCACCCTCTTCCCCCAAAAGTGAAGTCTCGGCGTTCCATGAGTCACTAGCTATATCCGGGTAATAATCATTCTTTTCTAATACGATCACAATCATCCCTTGATATGTAACTGCAAATTAAAATGTTAATACTCACCATTATGACTTATATACAAGAGTAGGAAAAGGGAGAGAGAGAGAAAAAATTATACTCTGGCTATGGGAGAAACAGTATTATAGATTGTTGCTGGTGTAGAGCATATACCATATTTTGTATGAGGGCACGTCAGCCCCTCATCTTGTTGTCACTGAACCTGAACTGAGTTGAATTTATTCAGCTATAACTGAATCTTCCACAGGCCATTCTACTGTTCTGTACTGCCAGCTGCTTTGTGTTGATGGGATACGTGGTAAAATAAGCGAATCCTGTGGGTACGGTCACTTCTTTTACTGTAAAATGAAATCCATTGTCAGAAGTTGTGTTGCGTGAGATACCACGATGGTAAATCGTCGTTTGGAAGTTTGTGCGTGGTGTTGCTAGCAGAAGAGCTATGGCCAGGGAAAGCATACAACTATCCAGTATAAGTGTCTATTCCAGTGAAAACAAATTGCTGGCCTTCCCATGATGGTTTCTAAGGAAATCAACCTGTTACCCTGCGGATAACTGTACCCTCAAAGGAATTGTGCCATGTCAGGAACTCAGCATTTATTTATGTTAACAGTTGGGCCTTCACACTGGCTTAGATAGATGAACCTTAGTGAGGAACACGCATGTCGGTGATCCCAGCAAAACCTCGGTGTGTGCCATCCGCCCACTTTACTTGAACTTGCGGAGCAAGTACTTGAACGGCCATGGAAAGAGGCTGCTAATGACCTACAGAACAGGACATCTTGATCACCTAGTTATTGAAAGCTGCCTCAGCAATGAATGATCTATGAATTCACTTGAGACTCAAATGTCCTCGTACACTGTGTCCATTGTGCGAAGTTGATCCCTAGACCTCCTTGTCACCAGTTTTCCAATCTTGTTCCCTCTAAGTGCCTGACAATGTGGCCAAAGCGTTAGCCCCTGCCCACGAATCTAAATAGGTCTGTATAGATCTGGCGATCTCTCTTTCTGGGCAAACTGAACAACTAGATGCACTGCTTATATGAGATGAATGCTCCCAGTGGGAGTGTCCCTCTTCCTCATTGTCATTCAGGGCTACCCTGAGTGCAGCCGTTAACGCTACAGCTATCCACGTCTGGCGGATATATAGCAATTTATTGTGTATCATCATGGGCAAACTAGTTCTGCGTTTTTCCTTCCTTAACTAACTGCTGATAGGGACGAGTTAAAGGAGAGTTGACAGTTCATCAGGAGTAGGCGCCACTCCTAGCTGCTCAAGCTAAACATTGAAAACAGAAGCTCTGATACATTTACCCTTATCAGTAAATTCCTTCCTGGTCTAGTGCTCTTAAAATTCAGTCTCAGCTTTTTGTTCATATAAACTGGCAAAATATTGCAATCCTTCTGATGACCTTCCTGGGTCAGTCCTTGTACACATCCCCATAGAGCAAGGATTAGCAAACTCCGGCTTGTGAGATGACAACCTGTTTTTGTCAATAAAGTTTTATCAGGATACTATGATGCCCATTTTTTAACATATTGTTTATATCTGCTTTCGCAACAACAGTGTTGAATAGTTGTAACGGAGATTCTATGGCCTGCAAGCCTAAAATATTTTCTATGCAGCTCTTTAAAGAAAAGATGCCCATCCCTGCCCTAGACTACAATAGAATATAACTCTAGTTTTATATCTAGAAGCAATGAGAGATGGTGGAGGTGCATTTGAGGAGAATCAGGATCTGCTTTAAGGGAAAAAATTGTGGGGTCTTCAGGCCTGGGAGGAAGGAAGTGCTAATTTCACTGGAACAGAAGAATGCAGATGTTCAGGCTTCTCAGTTCATTGGAATGCACACGTAAGTATCATCATTTCAGTATTCAGGATCTCACTCTTTTTCAATTAACATCCAAAGTTTTACATAAGAGACTTGACAAGGAAGTGACTGCTGTTTATATTGTAATTCTGCAATCTTCAGTATAATAATTTAAATGTTTTGGGTTTTTTGTCTGTTTGTTTTTTTGGACATATCAACCCCTGAGACTACAAAAGATAAGAGACTTTTTCAAGGGATTCCTAGAAGTTCTATGGTCCTCTCTTGGTACTTTGACCCAAGATTTTAAAGCCCTGATCTTGTCATTTTACTTCTTTTTTAAAAAATTATTGTTTATTTAGGTAACATTGGCTTATAACATTATATGTTTCATGTGTACAACATTATATTTCTACTTCTGTATACCCTACAGCGTGCTCACCACCAAAAATTTAGTTTTCATCCATCACCATACATTTGATCCCCTTTGCCCATTTTGCCCCGTCCTCTCTGGTGACCACTACTCTGTTGTCTGTATCTCTGTATTTGCTTTTGTTTGGTTTAGTTTGTTAATTTATTTTGGTTTTTTTCCTTTGTTTGTTTTTTAGATTCTACATATAAAAGAAATCATGCAGTATTTGTCTTTCTCTGTCTGACTTATTTCTCTTAGCATAATACCTTGAGGTTCATTTTTGTTGTCCAAATGGTAAGATTTCATCTTTTTTTATGGCTGAGTAGCATTCCATTGTACATATATACCACATCTTTTTTTATCTATTCATCCACTGATGGGCCCTTAGGTTTTTTCCATATTTTGGCTCTTGTTAATAATGCTGTGCTGAACATAGGGGTGCATATATCTTTTCTAATTAGTGTTTTCATATTTTTTGGATAAATACCCATAAATGGGATAGCTGGATCATACGGTAGTTAGTTCCATTTTTAATTTTTTGAGGAGCCTCCATACTGTTCTCCATAGTGGCTGCACCAATTTACATTCCCACCAACAGTGTAGTTGGGTTCCCTTTTCTCCACATCCTTGTCGCCATTTGTTATTTCTTGCCTTTTTGATAATAGCCATTCTAACATGTGGAGGTTATATCTCATTGTGGTTTTAATTTGCGTGTCCCTCATAATTAGTGATGTTGAACACCTTTTCATGTGCCTGTTGACCATCTGTATGTCTTCTTTGGGAAAATGTCTCTTCAACTCCTCTGCCCATTTAAAAATCAGGTTTTTTTTTTAAGTTGTTGAGTTGTATAAGTTCTTTACATATTTTGGATATTAACCCCTTATTGGATATATCATTTGCAAATATTTTCTCCTATTCAGTAGGTTGTCTTTTCATTTTGTTAATGGTTTTCTTTGCTGTACAGGAGAGTTTTAGTTTGATGTAATCCCATTTAGTTTAATGTTTATTTTTGGGTTTGTTTCTCTTGCCTGAGGAGACATATCAAAAAAAAAATGTTTCTAAGACTGATGTCAAGAGCATACTGCCTATGTTTTCTCTAGAAGTTTTATGGTTTCAGGTCTTACATTTATGTCCTTAATCCATTTAAAATTTATTTTTGTATCCGGTGTGTGAAAGTAGTCCAGTTTGATTTTTTTTTGCATGTGGCTGTTCAGTTTTCCCAATACTATTTATTGAAGAGGCTGTCATTTCCCCATTGTATGATGCCTCCTTTGTCATAGATTAATTGCTCATATAAGTGTGGGTTCAGTTCTGTTCCATTGATTTATGTGTCTGTTTTTGTGCCAGTACCATATTGTTTTGATTACTGTGGCTTTTTAATATAGTTTGACATCAGGGAGCATGATACTTTGCAGCTTTTTTCTTCCTTCTCAAGATTATTTGGGGTCTTTTGTGTTTCCATACAAATTTTAGAATTATTTGTTCTAGTTCTGTGAAAAATGCCATTGGTATTTTGATAGGGATTACACTGAATCTGTACATTGCCTCGGGGAATATGGTCATTTTACCGACATTAATTCTTCCAATCTATGAGCACGGTGTATCTTTCCATCTATTTGTGTCATCTACAGTTTCTTTCATGAACGTCTTATAGTTTTCCAAGTATAGGTCTTTTACCACCTTGGTTAGATTTATTCCTAGGTACTCTGTCCTTTTTGATGCAATGTAAATGAGATTTAAAAAAAAATTCTCTTCCTTATAGTTTGTTGTTAGTGTATAGAAATGCAACAGATTTCTGTATGTTAATTTTGTATCCTGCAACTTTCCTGAGTTTATTTATTATTTTTAATAGATTTTTTGAGGCATCTTTAGGATTTTCATGTATAGTATCCTGTCATCTGCAAACAGTGATGGTTTTACTTCTTCCTTTCTAATTTGATGTCTCTAATTTTGTCTCCTTTTCTGGTTGATAAGTCTAGGACTTCCAATACCATGTTGGAACAAAAGTGGTGAGAGTGGGCATCCTTGTCTTCTTCCTGATCTTAGAGGAAATGCTTTTAGCTTTTGACAGTTGAATATGATATCAGCTGTGGGCTTGTCATATATGGTCTTTACTGTGTTGAGGTATGTTCCCTCTATACCCACTTTGTTGAGAGGTTTTATCAATATAATAAATGGACATTGAATTTTGTCAAAAGCTTTTTCTATTGAGATGATCATATGATTTTTATTTTTCAATTTGTTAACGTGGTGTATCACATTGATTGATTTGCAAATATTGAACCATACTTGCACCCCTGGGTTAAACCCCAGTTGATCATGGTGAATGACCCTTTTAATGTATTATTGAATTTGGTTTGCTAATATTTTGTTGAGGATTTGTGCACCTGTGTTCATGGGTGATACTGGCCTGAAATTTTCTTCTTTTGTGGTGCTTTTGTCTGGTTTTGGTATACAGGTGATGCTGGCTTTATTGTGTTATGTCAGTTTCTCCCTTTATGTTTGTTAATACTTGCTGTATGTATTTAGGTGATCCTAGGTTGGGTGCATATATATTTACAATTGTATATATTGATCCCTTTATCATTATGTAATGTCTTTGTCACTTATTATAGTCTTTGTTTGAAAGTCTATTTTGTCTAAGTATTGCTACCCCAGCTTTCATTTTGTTTCCATTTGCATGGATACCTTTTTCCATCCCCCCCACTTTCAGTATGTGTGTTTCTGTACATCTCAAGCAAGTTTCTTGTAGGCAGCATATATATGGGTGTTGTTTTTGTATCCATTCAGTCACTCTGTGTTTTGATTGGAGCATTTGGTCCATTTACATTTAAAGTAATTATTGATATGTATGTACTTATTACCATTTTGTTAATTGTTTTCTGTTTGTTTTGTATTCCTTTTTTCTTCTTATGTTCTTTTCCCTTGTGATCTGATGACTGTCTTTGGTGTTATGTTTGGATTCCTCTTTCTTTTTTTGTGTGTATCTACTATATGTTGTTGGTTTGTGGTTACCATGTGGTTTATATACAAGAAAAATTTTTTAAGTTGATCTCTTAAATTCAAATGCATTAAGAAAAACCCTGCATGTTTACTCTCCGCCCCCCCCCCAAGTTTAATGTTTTTGACTTCATATTTTACATCTTTTTGTTTTGTGTATATCTTAACTACTTAATGTGGCTGTAGATGATTTTACTACTTTTGTCTTTTAATTTTTATTTTAACCTTTAAACTTTAAAGGTGGCTCATCTACTACATTTACCATATATTTGCCTTTACCAATGAGATTTTTCCTTTTGTAATTTTCATATTTCATATTCCTAGTTGTAGTCTTTTCTTGTCCACTTAGAGAAGTCCCTTTAACATTTCTTGTAAAGCCAATTTAGTGGTGCTGGACTCTCAGCTTTTGCTTGCCTGTAAAACTCTTATCTCTCCTTCATCTGAATGATAGCCTTGCCAAGTATTCTTGGCTGTAGGTTTTTTCCTTTCATCACTCTAATTATATCATGTCACTCCCTTCTGACCTGCAGAGTTTCTACTGAAACTTTCTACTGAAAGTCAGTGATAGTCTTATGGGAGTTCCCTTGTATGTAACTGGTTGCTTTTCCCTTACTGCTTTTAAGATTCTCTTTTGATCTTTAAGTTTTGCAATTTTAATTACAGTGTGTCTTGGTACATTCCTTTTGGGATGGATCTTGTTTGGAATTGTTTGTGCTTCCTGGACCTGGATGCCTGTTTCCATTCCCAGGATAGGAAAGTTTTCAGCTTTTATCTTTTCAAATAAATTCTCTGCCCCTTTCTCTCTCTCTTTTGCTTCTGGGACCCCTGTAATGTGAATGTTAGTATGCTTGATGGTGTCATAGAAGTCTCTTAACACTATTCTCATTTAGAACAATTTCTTCTTCTTTTTTCTGCTTCGCTTGGGTAATTTCGACTACTCTGTCTTCCAGTTCACTGATTTGTTCCCCTGTATCATCTAATCTGTTGATTCCTTCTAGTGTAATTTTTCAGTCATTGTACTCTTCAGCTCTGTTTGGTTCTTGTTTATATTTTCTAAGTCTCTGTAAAACTTCTCACTGTGTACATCTTTTCTTCTCCCAGGTTTGTTGAGCATCTTTATGATTATTATCTTGAACTCTTTATTGGGTAGATTGCTTATCTTCACTTTGCTTAGTTCTTCTGGGATTTTATCTGGTTCGTTTGTTTGCAACATATTCCTACGTTGCCTCATTTTACCTGATTCTCTGTGTTTATTTGTAGGTATTGCATAGATTGGTTACATTTCCTGATCTTGGAGAAGTGGGTTTATGCAGGAGATGTCCTATGGGGTCCAGCAGCACACACCCTTCTGGTCCCTTGAGCTATGTGCTCTAGGAGCGCCCCTGTGTGGGCTGCATGTGCCCTTCTGATGTGGTGGAGCCAACTACTGTGGACACACTGGTAAGTGAGGCTGGTCCCTGGCCCAGTTGGCTGCCAAGCCCTGCCTGGTTTGGAGCCTGCCAGCTGCGGGTGGATGGGGCCAGGTCTTGGGGTGGCTGGTTGTTCAGCCTGGGGGTGTCCCAGTACTGGTGCCAACTGTCTGGTGGGCAGGGAATCCCCTGGCACTAAGGCTAGAGGGAGGACTCCAAAATGGCACTTGCCAGCACCAAGGTCCTTGTGGTAGAGTGACCTCCCCAAAATGTCTGCCTCCAGCATCTGTGTCCCCACGGGGTGTCCCAGTTGCCTCCTATTTCTCCAGGAAGCTCTCCAAGATCAGCAAGTGGGTCTGACCTAGGTGTCTTTCAAATAACTGCCTCCGTACTGGGTCTCAGGGCATACGAGTTTTTGCATGAGCCTTTTAAGAGTGGAGTCTCTCTGCTTCTTACAGCTCTCCAGCTCTCCCACACGCAAGCCTTCAAAGCTAGATGTTCTGGGGGCTCCTCTCCCTGACGAAGGACCTCAACTTGTCCTGGATATTCAACTTCTGCAGTTACAGTCCCTCCAGGTGCTACCAGTCCCCCAGCACACTGCTACCTCATGACAAGTTGAGGATCTTGGGCGTGAGGGGCAGGCTGTCTACCCTGGCCACTGCACCTAGTCCCCACTCATCACCCACTGACCCACTCATTGCTCTGAAGCTGGTCCAGGCCTTTCTGCCCTGTTTTAAATGAATTGAATATTCTTTGGAATTCCATTTTACCTTCTCTAGCTATTCCTGTTTGAGGAATTTTTTTAGTGGTGTTTTAAAGATTACAATATACATCTTTGACTTACCATAGTTTATTTTATTTTATTTTTTTGCGGTACACGGGCCTCTCACTGTTGTGGCCTCTCCCGTTGTGGAGCACAGGCTCCAGACATGCAGGCTCAGCAGCCATGGCTCCGCGGCATGTGGGATCTTCCCGGACCGGGGCATGAACCCGTGTCCCCTGCATCGGCAGGCGGACTCTCAACCACTGCGCCACCAGGGAAGCCCTACCATAGTTTATTTTTAAATAGTATTATACTACTTTGTGAGCAGTATAAGAACCTTACAACAATATGGTTCTATTTATCTCCTCTTCCTTTGTGCTCTGTCCTGTGTTTTACTTCTACATACGCTATAAACACCACAAAACATTGTTACTGTTTTTGCTTTAAGTAGCCCATAGTCTTTTAAAGCAGTTTAGATATAAGTGTATGTCTATCTCTTAAACATAATGAAATCGGTCTTTTTTTATTTACCCACATACTTTTCTTGTGTTCTTCATTCCTTCCTTCAGCTCTAAATTTCCATTTGGCATCATTTCTCTTTAGCCTGAGTAACTCTTTTAGCATTTCTTGTAGTGCGGCTCTTCTGGAGATGAAATTGCTTCACTTTGGTCAATCTGAAAATGTCTTTATTTTACGTTTGCTTTTGCAGGATATATTTTGCTGCATGTAGAATTCTAGGTTGTCTTTTTTTTTCTTCAAGTGCTTAAAAGTTATCTTTTCATTGTCTCTGGCCCACCTTGTTTCTAATAAGAAGTCAGCAATCGTTCTTATTGTTGTTTCCTTGTATGTAATATATAATGGCTGCTGTTGAGATTTCCTCTTTATCTTGGTTTTCGGCAGTTTGAGTCTGATGTGCCTAGGCGTGTGGTGTTGTGTGTGTGTGTGTGTGTGTGTGTGTGTGTGTGCATGCACACACATGCTCAGAGTTTGCTAATCGAAATCTTTAAAAAATTTTGGAAAATTCTCAGCCATTATCTCTTCAGTGGTTTCTTCGGCCCCATTCTCTCTCCTTTTCCTGTCATACTCTAATTATTACATCTATGTGTCCCATAGATCTCAGATACTTTATTGTATTTTCTCTCATTTTTATTTTTTCATTTCAGTTTATATAATTTCTACTGTCTTTAACTTTATAGATCTTTTTCTTCCTTGGTGTCCAGGCTGCTTCTGATTCCATCAAATAAATTCTTCACTTGTAATAGCATATTTTTCATTTCTAGCACTTCCATGTGATCCATTTTTATCATTTCCATCTCTCTGCTGACATTACCCATATGTTTGTGAATGTTCTCCGGCTTTTCTAGTAGGTCCTCTAACACATTTTTGTAGTTATTTTAAAGTCCCTCTCTCATAATTCCGATATCTGATTCATCTCCCAGTCTGCTTCTTTCCTCCCATGATCATGGGGTCCATTTCCTTGCTTCTTGGTGTGTCTCATAGTCTTCAATGTACATTGGACATAGTGTATAAAAGAGCATTAGTGGCTGAAATAAATAATATTTCCTCCAGAAAATCGCTCATCCCTGATTCTATCAGGATGCTAAGAATCCCTAGCCCTGTAGAAGCACCAAATAAGTACCAGTAAGACATCAGATGTTCCTTTGTTAATCTACAGCTTTCTGAACCATGAATGATGTCTCTCTCTGCTTCACAGTCTGAATTCTAGCTTTTCAAGTCACTGGAGGTATCTCTTTGTCCTCCAGTCCTGTCCCTGCCTTTGTGCACCTAAGGAGACCTCCCTGTGCTCTACTGTCCTGCTTTCAGCCTGGCAGTTACTGCTTTGCACTCAGTAAAAGCCCAGGTGCTGCAGAGAGATTTCTCCTCTCCTCTTTCTGCCTTGCTACGTCTCTGCAACGGGCCACTGTCTCAACTCGGAAAAGGTCTGAGCACCTTATACGGGATCTCTCTAAGCACTTTTGCTCTCCTTTCAGCCTTCAGCATACTATCTATGTGCCCTTGTTGAAGGCCTGTGGGAAATAGTGGCAGGTAGGTGCATACTCTTTCTGTGGCTGGGTTCCTTGGGATTCTAATGCATCATGGAAGCTCACATGCGGTCTTTACAAATTCATTAAAATATGGCTGGTTTCTCTTTATCACCTACTATGAAGTATTCTGTCCCCTTTCAGTTGCTCTGCTAGAATGAAAACACCTATAGGTCTCTACTCTTAAAGAAAGGCCTCTTTACTTTCTAGATTTTCATTTGGTTAGATTTAGTTCTATCCTCAGATCTCTGGTGGGTTTAAAAAATTATGATTTTGTAGCTTATCTGGTTTGTTGTTATTGTTAGGGTGGTAGCAACTACCCTTGTGACTTGAACTGAGAAGGCCTCGGCTTTTAATGGCCTCTAATGAATAGGAGACAAAGTCTGGATCCAAAGAAGGGTGGGAAGTAGAATCCAAGATTCTAGCATAAGCCAGAACTCTAAGAAGGGTTGATGTAGAAAATAATGTTTCAAAGGGAGGTTTGTCTGTTTGCATGTGGCTCTAGGATAAGCAGGGAAAGAAAGATCGAAAGAGAGAGAAAGAGAGAAAGAAGGAAAGAAAGAAGGAAAGAAGGAAGGAAGGAAAGAAAGAAAGAAAGAAAGAAAAGAAAGAAAGAAAGAAAGAAAAGAAAGTAAGCTCACACTCGTGCTGATTTGGGGACATAATTCATGCTACCTACATGGTCTGAATACCAGATGCCTGGCACTAGTGGGTCAAATCTTCCCTGTGTAATTCATGTGAAACATTGATTTCAGCTCTTCCTATGCCTGGGATAGTCATGACCTACGGTCCTGAAGTACACAGCTGTTCCAAATCACTCGATGCTGGACATCCTAACTGATGTTTTTGACGTTCATGCATCAACTGGGCCCTCTCATCATTTTACAAAGGAAGGGACTCAAGTGTGTCAGTACAAGAGAGAAAGTAAAGAAGATCTGCACACCATGGTTCCTTAAGATGGAGGGCAGGCTGCACGCTGATATAAGCTACCCTGCCAGTTTCATGGGTGTCATCAACATTGACAAGAGTGGTGGGAATTTCCATCTGATCTGTGACCCAAGTTGTTCATCAGATTGTGCCCGAGGAGGCCAAGTATAAGTTCTGTGAAGTGAGGAAGATCTTTGTGGGCACCATCCAGATGGACATCTTCTGGATTGATTTGGACCTTGGCCAAATCAATTAGCCACTTCATCAAGTTCTGCTAACCCATGTACATTGATGGGGAGTGCTAACCTGGGACAGATTGATGGTATCACCAACACACACACACACACACACACACACACACACACAGAAAGAGAGAGAACCTGACTCTTGACCTGAGTCATGTGTAGGAAGCCAATGGCAATAGCTTTGCCACCAGGCTTTCCCAACATATTCATCATTGGAGAAAACAGCAAACAATGCATTTCCCTGCACCAAAGAAAGAGTACTTGCCTCAGTATTGCTGAAGACAGAGACAAAGACAACAGAGCAATGGGTGGGATGATTTCCAGAGGAGAGAAGTAGAGAGCTTCTTTGGCTAATTAAAGATGTATTAGCATGGAGGAGAAAACAGAAACAAAACATTATTTTCAGAGAATTACCACCAAAGGAACATGCACTCACAATTAAAAAAAAAAATTACTAAAACACATGAAGAAACAAGCCCAAATAAACAAAAGTCAGCAGAAAAAAATATAAGAAACTAAAGTGTCAGACTCCCAAGATTGATATTGGAATTATTAGACTACACAGCAAGAACGTTTAATCTATCTAAGTTTTAGCTGCATGAATGAAAATGAGAATCTTAAAATCATAGCGCTGAATGAAAATAAAAGCAAGTCCCAAATCAGTAAAATGGGTAAATGAATTTTAATCCATTTATACCACACAGTATCATAGACCAGTTTTAAAAAATGCACTAGAAATATGCATATCAAGATCGGGGAATCTCAGAAATAGATGAGTGAGAAAAACGTTAAAAAATACATATGAATTCTTTATATAAGTTTCAAGTCCTGTAAAAATTAAATATTATATTATTTAGGGATACGTAATAAAACTTTTTTAAAGTAGCTAGTAATTTATAATTCAGAATGCTGGTTTCATATGGATGAAAAGGGGAGGGAGAAGCTCAGAGAGGGGGCATGGTGGGCTTAAAAGATTTATTAGGTTGTGTTTTATTTCTTAAGCCAGGAGGTTTAACGTAGAGGTATTTGTTTTTAGTAATATCACTTAAGTATATGAGTACCGTTTATTCATTATTTTGTATGAATGAATTATTTTTTTAAAAGCTCAAATAAATCTTGTGTTAAGGTCAGTGGCCTAAATCCTTGCTAGGAAGACCTCACTGAATAAAAAAACCATTCTCTTTCTTGGAAGACAAAATATCAAATAGGTCCATCTAGTGGTGAATTAGAGAATCTCAAATACAGGGATACTCCAGCTGAAGGAATACCCTGGGATGTAAGGCATTTACTCAAAAATAGCCCATTCAGTGAACATTGGGGTGCATGTATCTTTTTTTTTGGCCACACCGCGCGGCATGCGGGAACTTAGTTCCCCGACCAGGGATCAAACCTGCACCCCCTGTGTTGGAAGCACGGAATCTTAACCACTGCACCACCAGGGAAGTCCCTGTATCTTTTCGAATTACGGTTTTTCCCAGATATGAAAAAAAAAATAGCCCAGGGCTTCCCTGGTGGCGCAGTGGTTGAGAGTCTGCCTGCCGATGCAGGGGACACGGGTTCGTGCCCCGGTCGGGGAAGATCCCACATGCTGTGGAGCGGCTGGGCCCGTGAGCCATGGCCGCTGAGCCTGCGCGTCCGGAGCCTGTACTCCGCAACGGGAGAGGCCACAACAGGGAGAGGCCCGCGTACTAGAAAAAAAAAAAAAAAAATAGCCCATTCAAAAACCACGTACACAAATAGAAAAAAAAGATCTTGATTGACTGAGTGAAGAACTCTTTGTCTTCAGATGCATGGTAAAATTCTTTGGTTTGTCTCTAACTGGTTGGAAGACTAAAACTTAACCTCAGGTAATTTGTGAGACCCCAGCCTCCTTTATCTGCATCACTTTTGCCCCTTGTTGGCAGGTTTCCCCCCTCACTTCAGGTGCTGCGGTGCTTTCCTCCAGACCTCCTGTTAGTAACTGCATCTTCCCTGCCTGAGCATTGGATGACTCCTTCCTACCCCGTTCTTCACCTGAGCTCAGTGCTGCTCTCACCTCTGCTTTAGAGCCATGGGGTATATACTCAGGCAGCTATTCAAGATTTAGGTCCCTCTATATGTACGAACATATCGTTAAATGAAATTGGGCAGGGGACGAAACTGCACGTAGCATGTGTTTCCATTCATATTTTTTAAAAGGATGTATATGTTGTCACGATATAGAATATCTGGGGAAGGACATACAAGAAACTGATAAACTTTTAGGGAAGGGCACTCTGGGGAAATTAAGTGAGAAAGAAACTTACATTTGGTTTTTTGCTATTTATTGATGCTGATTGAGTTTTGTTACAATGTGCATGTATGACTTCATACAAATTTTAAAGAGAAAATAGTGTGTTCTATATATGTAGATGCTATCACACTGATAAATAAGCTTCCTACAGATAAAGAGCATTGATGCTTTCTAATGGATGTTATGTCTTAGTGGTTATAAATCAACACTGTGGTATAAGGCAGCCTTAGATTGTCAGGGGAATGGTCTTGCCTGGATTGAAAGAATCTCTCTTGCATGTCTTTGGATATATTCATTGCCCTTAATACTTAGCTGCACCTTTAGCTTTAAATGGTTTATCTGATAACTGACATGTTTTTCCAATTAGGTTGAAAAAAATCAGTTTAGGCGATTTATTGACGTTGGAGCCTTGATACTTTATAAATTGCCTGAAATCTAACAGCATTTCTGACCTGCACTTGACCTTTGCACGATCTACTTCAGACTCTAATTGGAAGAAACACTGTAATTCCTTTTGTATAGCAAACTCCCAAATGAACATGCAATCAAGTGTCACTTCAGCAAAAGCATGAGTGTTTCCTGAGCAGATCTTATGTAGTGGATGGCATGCTTGTTTCCTCAACATTCCTTCTCCCTTCCCATTGTGTGGCAGCAATGAGCTTGGAGGAAGTGAGCTGAGCTCCATTGATGGGCTCTGGTCAGGAAGCCAGGGATTACTTCAAGGACCTAGTCCTACCTTGTGTGAGGGGATGTAAACTGGCCCCCAAAGGCTGAAGATAAAGACTTTCCATTTGTTGTCTTAGGGAGAGGCAATTTCTCTCATCTGCTGGATGTAAATAAAGAAGTCAGCGGGCCTTACTTTAACCAGCAGCTGTCCTACAACCCAGAGGGGAACCAGTCACCAGCCGTAGAATGATACAAACCCTGTGGTTACAGAGCAAAGAGATAGAAAGAACCTATGTTCTTGATGACACAAGTGAGTTGCTCAAACAACCAACCCTGGAGGCTGACCCATCTCTGGACTTTGTGTAAATGCCAGCTGGTCAGTTTTTTAGTGTTTGAGTCAAATGCACTTGGTTGATTTTTCTATTTCTTCCAACTGGAAGCATCGTGGAGCATATTTCAATAGAACAGTAAGAAAAACCCTCAATATATAAATTATACAATGTCTAAGCTAGATCTTGAATACCCTTCTCCAGATGAATTTCTTGAATATTTTAATTATAGAAGTGTAAATATATTTTAGAGTATGGATATTCATAAGAAGGATTGGATTTTACATTCTCGTATTAGTATGGTAGAGTGTCTTTATCTGTTCAGGCTGCTAGAACAGAATACCATAGACTGTGTGGCTTAAGCAACAAACATGTATTTCTCATGGTTCTGGAGGCTGGAAGTCCAACTTGTCAGCATGGTCAAGTTCTTGGTGAGAGCCTTCTTCCTGGTTTACAATGGCCACCTCTTTGCTGCATCCTCTCATGGCAGAGAGAGAGAGATAATCTCTCTCATGTTTCTTTTTATAAGAGCACTAATCTCATTCATGAGAGCTCCATCCTCATGACCTAATTACTTCCCAAAGGCCCTACCTCCAAATATCATCACAGTGGGGATTAGGGCTTCAACATATGAATTTGGGAAAGACAAACTTTCAGTACATAGAATGGAGTATAACATGAATAGTATTAAACACTAATCTAGATAAATCTTCTATTGTTAGAGACAGAGAAAGAACCCTAGATTAACCATTAAGCAAATAATCAAATGTTCAGGTGTTTTAGTTCATTTGTGCTGTTATGACAAAAATACCATAAACTGGTTGGCTTATAAACAACAAACATTTATTTCTCACAGTTCTGGAGGCTGGGAAGTCCAGGATCAAGGCTCCGGCAGATTCATTGTCTGATGACACAGACATGGAAGACATTCACTTCCTGGTTTGTAGATGGCCATCTTTTTTTGCTGTATCCTCACACAGAGAAAGAGGTAAGGGATCTCTCTGGGGCCTTTTATATAAGGACACTAATCGCATTCATGAGGGCTCCACCCTCATGACGTAATCACCTCCCCCCAAATCACTCCTTTTAACATCATCACATTAGGGTTTAACATGAATTTGGGAGGGGGCACAAATATCCAGTCTATAGCATTAGGGCACTAGAGAAAGAGGGGCATCACAGGGCTCTTACAAATTTTAATAAAATCAATATCAGGTTTCATTATGTCCTGATCCTTAATTTAGAAACTAACACTGTGACTCAGAAGCTACATATAAGTTCGTTGGCTTTTTACTTATGTATCTATATCTACTCTGCTGATTGTAGACTGTAAACTCCTAATTCAATTCCTTTCATGGTTTTAGATACATTGAAATTTTCCATTTTTCCTTAAGTCAGTTTTAGTCAGTAACATTTGTGTTTGCAGGAAATTGTCTGTGTTTTCTAACTTAATGGCAGAAAGTTGTCCACAATATTGTTTTATTTTAAAAATCCCTGGTGTACTTGTTATATTCTTTTTTATTCCAACAATTTTCTACTTTCTCCCTGACTTTCTCTTTACTAGTCATGATGTCAGGGATTTTCTTTTCTCTCACTTTACTAGTCTTACTAAGCAACCATCTTTTTTTTTTTTAATTTATAAATTTATTTATTTATTTTTAGCTGCATTTGGTCTTCGTTGCTGCATGTGGGCTTTCTCTAGCTGTGTTGAGCTGGGGCTACTCTTCGTTGTAGTGCGCGGGCTTCTCATTGAGGTGGCTTCTCTTGTTGCGGAGCACAGGCTCTAGGCACGCAGGCTTCAGTAGCTGTGGGACACAGGCTCAGTAGTTGTGGCTCGTAGGCTGTAGAATGGAGGCTCAGTAGTTGTGGTGCATGGGCTTCGTTGCTCTGTGGCATGTGGGATCTCCCCGGACCAGGGCTCAAACCCGTGTACCCTGCATTGGGAGGTGGATTCTTAACCACTGTGCCACCAGGGAAGTCCCACTAAGCAACCATCTTGATGATGGTAAATAATCAAAAAAAAAAAAAAAAAAAAAAGAACAAAAAGGAGAGAAAAGAAAGTAAGGAAAAGGGACTATTCATTCCATATATTAGAATGCATTTTAAATCTAGCACTGATATAAAAACAGAAATTTCAAATAGTATGGCAAAGTGGAAAATCTATAAATATGTGAAATTACACATAAAAATTTAATATATAATGAGTATCATAAATGAGATTAATATGTGTGTATATATATTTGTGTGTGTATAAGTATATGCATATAATATATACACTTTGTAAACCTCATCAGTAAAGTACGTGAACAGTCCAATTACACAAAAGGAAAATCAACTAATAAACAGTTTTAAATCTAATATTGGTAATCATAGTAACACAAATCTAAACAGCAATAAAATACCACTTACATCTACAAATAAGAAAAAAGATAAAACAGCAAGTGTAATATTTATGTAGGTGTGTCTCCAAGATAATTTTTTTTTTTTTTTTGCGGTATGCGGACCTCTCACTGTTGTGGCCTCTCCCGTTGCGGAGTACAGGCTCCGGACGTGCAGGCTCAGCGGCCATGGCTCACGGGCCCAGCCACTTCGCAGCATGTGGGATCTTCCCGGACCGGGGCACAAACTCGTGTCCCCTGCATCAGCAGGCGGACTGTCAACCACTGCGCCACCAGGGAAGCCCCAAGATAATTTTTAAGCTCAACGTTTTTAAGAATTATTCTTTAATTCATTTTGAATCCCTATTTGACAATATGCGTTAAAAATCCATAGAAATTCATATCCTCTGTTCTAATGAAGCATATCATAAGGATTTATCTTAAAATAATTCAAAAGATAAAACTATATTCATGATGATGTTTACCACAGCATTAAATTATAAAGTTGAAATTGGAAAAAACTTAAAATGTTCAATGATAAATGCAGTGATTAGGAAAAGCATCATCTATAAACTGGGTTAAACATGATGTGCTTCTTAAAAATTAGAAAAGTGAAGTTTGGTGTGTGTGTATCACCATTTACTGAGCACTGGCTATGAAGCAGATACTTTATATATATTTATTTCCAAAGCTCATATTCACTCTGCAAGTTAAGTATTTTTCATTCTCAGTTTAAAGAATCTGGGTCCAGTTTCTCTGTGAGATTAAGTCACATATTCAAGGCAGCATAGCTAGTGAGTGATGGAGCTGGGCCTTGATCCCATGCCAGTACAGTGCCTGCCACACCCAGGGCCTGGTCAAAGGGGACAGGCCCGGCTCACAATTCCTGCTGAGGGAACAGCCTTTGGTAGCACATTCTGTACTATGTGATTTCTGCATCTTTAGCCCACCCACCCCTCCTACCACCACCGAGGCTGGGGCCTCACCTAAGGGCAGCCAGTCCAAAGTCAGGCTAGTAGCTCATGATACGGTCTGTCATGGAAGGCTCTGCTAGAGAGGAGATGAATTATCTAAATTCTCACTCTTATTGGTTTAATTTTAGAAATAGGGAGCAAATCAGGCAGTTGTTGGGAAAAGAGGCTGGGAGAATGTTAGACAAGCCAGAGGGCTTTTAATAATACTCTCAAGAACACTGCTAACTAGGTGAGACAGAACTAGACTGCTAGATCACCCATGCCAGAAAGACTGAGGTGGGTTCAACTCAGGCAGAAAAAAAGTAATCAAAATGTAAAGGGAAATAGTTGTCGACCACACTAAATTCTGCAAACAGTGCCTGTATCTGCATAATCATATTCATTACATACTCTAGTCCCTTCATGATCTTGTCACTTCTGCAGGCTCATCTCTTAACTCCACCCAAGCCAAACAATTCAGGTGTCTAGGGGTATACTGTGCTGGTGATCAATGTTGCCTTTCAGCTCCATATTCACCCTTTCGCCTGAATGAATAAGTACATCATGCTGTCCCCTCCCTGGAAAGTATTTTCACTTGTCTAGCTTATTCCCTTGCATCCTACAAGACTTGGCTCAAGAGAAAGTACCTCTAAGGAGCTTCCCGTGATCTTCTCCATCAAATGGAATCCACATAAGCACGATTCCATGGAGACCCTCTTGGCTATATAACAGCTTCATATCAGGAGAAGTTAATCTGAGTAATGATCAGATATAAAATGAGCAGAAAACAGAAGAGAGGAGTAGGTAGCAGATGTTACAAGGACTGACAGGAACCAACCTAATACCAGTCCCTAAATGTGCTAGAGGAAAGTGCTCCCTCAAGAAAGGGAGGCACTAGCAGGTGCAAACTAGTATATATAGAACGGATAAGCAACAAAGTCCTACTGTATATACAGCACAGGGAACTATACTCAATATCCTGGGATAAACCGTAATGGAAAAGAATATAAAAAAGAATGTATATATGTGTATAACTGAATCACTTTGCTGTACAGCAGAAATTAACACAACATTGGAAATTGACCATACCTCAATTTAAAAAATAAATTTTAAAAAAAAGGGACCTCCTTGGTGGCGCAGTGGTTAAGAATCCGCCTGCCAATGCAGGGGATGTGGGTTCGAGCCTTGGTCCAGGAAGATCCCAGGTGCTACGGAGCAACTAAGCCCGTGTGCCACAACTACTGAGCCTGCGCTCTAGAGCCCGTGAGCCACAACTACTGAGGCCCGTGCACCTAGAGCTTGTGCTCTGCAATGAGAGAAGCCACCACAATGAGAAGCCTGCGCACCGCAGTGAGGAGAAACCCCCGCTCGCCACAACTAGAGAAAGCTCACGCACAGCAGCGAAGACCCAACGCAGCCAAAAACAAACAAACAAACAAATAAATAAATAAGGGAGGCAGACACTTGGGTTAGAATCATTCACATATCCTTATCTTACCTCCTGAGTTAAAGTAGATATATTTTAAGATATCTACATACATACATGTATATATGTATATATATTATTATACTTATATATATATGTGTATATAATTGAGAGTTTGAAATCAACAGACTTTTTATCCATTTGTAGCTGGGACAAAACTGATATGGTTCTAAATTAATGAGAATGACACGCTATAATAGCAATTTGTGTTACAAACTGTCTGAGGCAACCATCTGTACTACACAAATAAATTTGCCTCTGAGTCTGCAAGACAGCACTTTCCCAGAGTCCTACAGAGAATCCAGATGCAGATTTTCCTGGCTCACTGCCTTTGCTTTATCCATTTGGCTAACCAGTTCGTGCGCAAATTTATATGTAAAATTAAAAAGCTGGCTCAGGCCTCGAGAGTGAGGTGCAGAAATAATAACAGCAATTTGTATTTATGTAAGTAGAATATTTATCCTAAGTGATGAGATCATATCAGAATGTTCTCTCATTCATTTATAGCCATTTATTCAAAGCAGAGAAAGTATAAATAAGTATTTCAAAAGCATGATTTGGTGAGAAGTATACCCAGCAGTCTACATTGGTTTAAACCAGACATGGGTGTTGTGATTTGTATGTCCCTTAGGGAATGTTTCTTTAAATTCAGAAATGTTGCTTTTTACCAACTGATTGAGAGCCCATAAAGTTGTATTTCTTCATCTACTGTGCCTAAGATCTACGAAACACTGAGCTCAGAACTAGAAATAAACAGAACCGTAAGACTCAAACTTTGTAATGCAAGAAATTTACAGCTTAATTATTCTCCCCCCACCCAGCTTTATTGAGATACAATTGACATATAATATGGTATAAGTTTAAGGTGCACAATGCGCTGATACATGTATATATGGCAAAATGTTTACCACAGTAAGGTTAGTTAGCACATCCTTCACCTCACATAATTACCATTGTTGTTATTGTGAGAACATTTAAAATCTAACCTTATAGCAACTTTCAAGTGTACAATACAATGTTGTTAACTATAGTCACCATACTGTACATTAGCCACCCCCCCCCAAACTTATTCCTCTTATAATTTGAAGTTTGTACCCTTTGGCCAACATCTCCTCTTCCCCCATCCCCAGTCCCTGGTAAGCATACTTCTACTCTTTGCTTCTATGAGTTC